AACGAAGCTTTTAGGGGTTTGGAACGACATGGGGGTAAGTGATTAATGACAACATTTTCATTTTGGGGTGGAGTATCCCTTTAACGACTGATTGTCCTTAAAGGGACATTTCACCCCTAAAAAAAGGTGTAAATTGTCATTATTTATTTGGCCTCAAGTTGCTTCGAAACTGAAACTGTTTTGTGGGACACAAACGATTTATTTATTCATTTGTTTGTTTGCTCACTTGTTTATATTAAACTTGTTTATATATTGTTTTACAAGCTTATTTCCTCCAAGAAATTCAAATAATAAATAAATAAACAAACAAAAATAAGGTTACAGAAACAAGATAATTGTTACTTTTTATCTCCCAATTCTGACCTTGTCTTGCAGTTCTGATTTTATGTCTCGTAATTCTAAGAAAAAAAAAAGTCTTATTGTGAGTTTATAACTCGAGTTATACGAATTTTAAGATATAGACAAAAAGTCAGAATTGAGAGATATAAACTCAGAATTGCAATAAAAAGTCAGAATTGAAAGATAAACTCAGAATTGCAAGGAAAAAAGTCAGGCTTGTGAGATATAAAGTCGCATTTTTAAATTTTACATTTTTTTTTCACACAAGGGTAAGTAAATGACAGAATTGTCATTTTTGGGCGAATATCCCTTTAACTGGTCTTCAAGAACAAGGAATTTAAAAATATTAAATAATGCATTTGAGTATTAGGAATGAAAGTAAAGGTTCTGAGGACTACATTGGGATTTAGATGGAGAAAAAAATAGCTCTGTTCATTGTCATCATAACTACACTTCGAAACAATTATTTAAATATGTTTCAAACATGATAAACCTTCACCTTGGAATTATAAGGTTATAAGGTTATTCTGAGCAGTTTCAAAATATTGAGCTTTCAATTTTTTGCATTGCATATTAGTGATATGGGATATGGGGATATGGGGACTTTCGTATATCAGTCCCAAAATGTACACAAAAAACATTACATAATGTAAATAAGTTGTCACAGAATAAGAATATGTGAATAACTCAATCTTGACAAAAATGGCAGACAGAACCTTACAATTCCAAGGTGACGAAACGGCCCATGTACCCATAATTCCACCTCCTAATGAAAACTGTATTTGTCACTGGTGAAAATGAAGACCTAGAAAAAGCGATTAGTGAATAGAGAGATCATACACCCGACACACAAACATCATCATTCTTACCCAGAGTTCTCTCTGTTCCGGACAAATGCTGTGTAAGGGAGGGGGCAAAATGATAAAATTCAATTTGTTGCTCATAAGAAAACGGAGAGTAGAAGAGCAGGAGAGAGTGATATTGAGAGATTTAGGCCAGATGTTAGTTAACGGAAGAAGTGGGACAGGACAGTGTTGTTT